TCATACGAGGGTCAAACTGAAAGTTCTTAGAACTGGCCACTTATAAACAATATAATAAAAAAATAATTCTAAAATTTGAAAATATAACTCTTTGCCAATATTACTGAGTATATATTTCATTCATTTGTCATTTGTTTTACGATTTGGCGGCAAATTGAAAATTGTCTGTGTCACGTCATCATGAATTTAACACGAGAAAATTTTCGTGCAATGATTTTTTATGACTTTCGATGTCATTTAAGTCAACAAGAAAGTTATGATAGACTACGATTGGCCTTTCACGATGAAGCCCCATCTCGTGCGACTGTTTACAACTGGTTTAATGAGTTTAAACGTGGTCGCACTAATCTCACTGATGATTTACGTGAGGGACGGCCTTCTACGGCGACGACTGAAGATAACATCTGTGTTGTGCGGCGTATGATAGAGACTGACAAAAGAGTGACCTATCAACAGATTCGGACAAGCTTAGGCATCGGTATGAGTCAAGTGCACAAAATCCTCCACGAACATTTAGCGGTCAGGAAGCTTTGCGCCCGGTGGATACCTCATAATTTGACTGAGGCTCAAAAACTCCATCGTGTGGATTGGTGTCGTAAAATGATTGAAAGATTTAACGGAGGTGACTCAAATGCTGTGTTCGACATACTAACAGGTGACGAAAGCTGGATTTACTGTTATGATCCTAAAACCAAAAGACAATCTGCTCAGTGGGTGTTTCCTTTCGAGGAGTTGCCAACTAAAGTGAAGAGAGATCGAAGTGCGGGAAAAAAAATGGTGGCCTCGTTCTTTGGAAGGATAGGTCATTTTGCAACAATTGTGTTAGAGGATCAAAAAACAGTTTCTGCAGAATGGTACACTACCAATTGTTTGCCACTTGTCTTGGAAAAAGTTCGAGAGAAACGACCTCGCAGTAGGATCCTCCTTCACCACGACAACGCCTCGTCGCACACCGCCAAGCGAACGATCGACTATTTGGCGACATCAAACGTTGAATTACTGGGTCACCCGCCGTATAGCCCCGACCTCGCGCCTTGTGATTTTTATTTATTTCCAAAAATTAAAGAAAAACTTAAAGGAAAGCGGTTTATGAATGCTGAAGAAGCGGTGGCTGCGTATCGCGATGCCATTGAAGAGACCCCTAAGGACGAGTGGGCAAAGTGCTTTTCCCAGTGGTTCCATCGCATGCAGCGGTGTATTGACGTGAATGGACAATATTTTGAAAAGATATAATAAAACTAATAACTGGCTAATGTAATCAGTTTTTGATTTTCTAAGAACTTTCAGTTTGACCCTCGTATACTGATAGGTTGGTCCTATAAAAAATATGTAAATAAGATCAGCTCTTTTGTTTTTTTTTTATTAAAATCTATAAGAAATTTCGTCGAGGTAAATATGTTGGTTTGATTTTTGACAGAACTCATCTCTATACTTTATAGATACACTAGCAGTTTTCCCGCGACTTCACTCACGTAAACTATAGGCTATGTTACCTGATTACCTGATAATTGCTAATGATGTAATCGAGCCAGTAGTTTCAGAGCAAAGTAAACAAAAAACACCCAAACAAAGAAACTTTCACATTTATAATATTAATAGGATTTACATTGTCATAACAAGGTACATATCCGTAATTGCCAATCATTCTGATGTTATTGACTATGGAAGTTTAAAACAACATATTATTTATTTATTTAAAGTAGGTACTTACAGATTATATAAATATAACAGTTGAATTAGGCTAGACAATTAATTGATTATTGTCTAGACCTTCGGTCTAAGTCCTATTCATAGGGAAGACCTATGCTCCAGCAGTGAGAACATAACAGATGATCAGAGGATGGGTTATTAAATATATTATCTAGTTTCTTCGTGTTTTAGAGTGTACAATTTCGGTATAAAATCCCAGGAATCGTGGGGAGATGACTAAAATTCACACTGGCAGAACGGAGACATTTATTTCTAACCAATTTTAAATATATAAAATGACAGAAATATTTTATTATCACGATGTAATTCAATAATAATAATAATAATAATAATAAATGGCTTTATTTCACATAAGTTGCAACATAGAGGGTAGAGTATATCACTTCAGGTTACACAAATATGGCAAACTTTACTTGATTTTAAACCCTAATGTTTTGCGATTAGAGTTTAATATCAATTGAAGAAATTTGTCATATTGTGGTAACCTGACATTTAGCTGTGGTCCCGGCTGCATCTGCAGACGACCAATCCGCATTGGGTCTGCGTGGTGGGCTCTACCTTTTGAATGAAACCTGATGATGATGAATGACATCAATTAGCCTTGAGCTGGTTATTTGATACCGTCAGAAGATCGTTTAGGCACATTCTAGAAAAGAAACTATAAGGTGATACTGGCTTCAAGGTAGAACGAAGTAGAAAAATGAAGAGAGACGAAGAGTAAAATTACATGTAGAAAACTCTATCTGTAATATTTCTAGTTTGTTCTACCTTTTAAATCAGTATGGTGATACTGGTTTTTAAAGATAAAATCTATCGTAAATACTTGCTCTTCTAGCTTTAGGTAAAATAAGATAACTGATTCATAGTAGTGCCGTACTTGTTGGTACAAATTTAGGGATTAATTTTGTCAGTTTGTATGTACTTATCCACGTCTTAAAACACACTTTTATTCTATAATTAAGTTGTTATAAATAACATCACCGCAATAAGTAGGTGTCAATAAACGCGGTCAAATTGATTTGTTTCATAAATTTGATGATCTCATAAATTGAGGGTGACATTATTTTATTGCATCATATAATGATGCTAAGCAGTAAGCAGTAGAATATTAAATGGTGCTAATCCGCCAGTGGTGCCACCTACAACCTGAGAGGTCTGTATTTTTTACGAGGCGCACTGTATTAGAGAAACCGCGCTTTTCATTCATCGTCCGGACAGAACTTAGTGATGTACCTTATTAAGAAATAGCAAACACAATATTATCACTTTGTTAATTAAAATATAATTAGAAAATCTTTATTTAAATGAGATAAACTGTGTATTTTTTTATGTTTTGAAGTACAAAATTTAGGGCTGCCTGAAGTCAACTTAATTCTTTAATACTATACTTAATGGAAAATATTTTAATATCTAACTCTATAGATTTTTGATTTTTTCATCTCATATTTATTGCATCCAAATCGTAAATTTATAACAAGCTTTTTGACACTTCTTCTAATAATTCTACTTTTCATAGATAAATTTGTTAAATATTTTAGTCCCTTGATCACCAAGGGCTATTGCCCTTTTACTTGAACCGTAATAATTTGCGAATAATTATTAAAAATAGTTACGCCTCATTCGGACGGTCTTATGTGTTTTACGTTCAGCTTTATGAGTCACACGTTATTCTAATGACGAAGTATGACAGAACAATATAATGCGTAATAAGTAGGGGTTGTTTTGAAAACATGAAATCACAGATTTAGCTTCTTTACCTACTTTCTATCGTCTCTATCGAATTATTCGTTAATAAATACATCATATACTTTTAGGACGGAATAATTGTCGATATATTTCTTCTTCTTAATCACATCTCTACATTCTTCCCGATCACTACAAGCGTCTCTGACCGACATAACTCGACCTTACTACTGATAGAGATGGGAATAGCCATTTATACGAAGTGTGACAGGAGCAACCAATAAAGTAGGTCACGGGATAAGAGGCGTCTTGGAACCAACGCTTTTATTCAGCGCTATAACGCTAGAATTACACGATAACTAGAAATATGTAGCTGAAATTGGCAGTTTATTTATAGAAATCAACGTCTTTACGAGTCCATAGTAATTAATGAAGTTTATTATAAGACTTGTAACGTTTGTTTGTTGATTAATTAGGTTGCGTTTACTAGTAAAATGATCTAACACATTATTTTAATTATTCTGGAGGTTGATTTTAATTATCATTTTTCTTATATTAACTATTTGATATACACTTAAAATAATAAGTCGCTGCAACGAAACTTCAGTATAGACTGCAATCCTTTAGTAGCTTTTTAGAGCGTTAAAATGTAGCTTTGTACTCTAGGTATTATTTAATTACCCAATATAAACTTTATCAAATCAACTGCGTCTATAAATAATAAAACAAGTAAACTAACTAGGAATTCTCCATTAACTATTTAAAAGGTTGTTTGTCGTTGTGTTTTTGTAATATATGGATGATACAAAAGAGCTTTCAGTTAATTTAAATGCAAGTATTTTCGCAAAACATACATTATAAACATACATACTAACTTTTTAAAACAACATCAGCAAATTAAGATTCCGTTTAAGAGTTCGATAAACAAAGTGGTTTGGTAACAAAATCTATTGTTGATTTAGGAAGTAAAAATAGCATCTTGTTTCTAATTGCTTACCCATTCATGGAAAAAATCAATAGCAGACAACTCGAAGATAGAGACGTCTGAATTGAAGTTAATTATAACTAATACTATATTTAGCTTTGTTAACTTATTAAGTACGTGGGTTATGAGTTTATTAAATATTTATTTTTAGAACAAATTATTATAAATAGTGAATTTAAATAAAAAACTCCAAATAAGAATATCATAAGATTTATTATGAACTCAGGCCATGGATTACCACAAAATGTAAAATTTTTCAATGGCTTAAGTGTCAGATAATGCGCTTTTGAAATAGGAATATTTTTATATTTCTTTAACTTGGTCAAGAATAAAACTTGGGTCTCTTTTAGATATCGATATTCTGAAACTAGCGTTCGATCGTGAAAGTATCATTATTGTTGGAGTTTGTATAGTTTATCGATAAACAATTCGATTGACAATCTTTAGACATAGTGTATAGTCCTATCTGCGATCAAATTTTAACATACCGCAATTACAATTTCAGTAGACGGCATGATTAATTTAATTACTGTATTCCTGAAACAATTTTAGCGCTGTAGCGGCTGAGCGATACCAGCGCGCATGCGTATAGTGGGAAGCGATCGATTCCGCGCCCGCTCCCGACTCAGTCAGTGCTCGCGAATCCGCCGCGCAGTCCGCACAATGCGCTCCCAGTGACGCGGGAAATAGCCAAGCTGTATCTCCGCGAGTACGCCGGCGAAGAGGAGCGGCCGCCGTGCCGGGAGGAGTGGCGGCGGCAGGACTGGGGCGGCGGGACGCGAGGGCGTCTGCCGCAGGTGGACCGGAGTCCGTCGCGGCGCAGCCCCTACCTCACGCGCGATGACGAGCCCTCGCCGGCGCCCGATGAGCGCGGCCGCTCGGCCTCCGCCGGGGCGCACCACCGCGCGCGCCCGCGCCCGCTCCGCTACCAATCCCTGGAGCGGGACTACGACCGCGCGTACCCGCCGCCGCCACCCGACGAGGAGTACTACAGGAGAGAACCACCCCCCCTCTTCCTCGGCGAACTGCAGTCCCAGAACTCCGACCTTCAACGGGAGCTGGGCAACCTCAAAAAGGAACTGGAACTGACCAATCAGAAGCTCGGCTCCAGCATGCATAGCATAAAGACCTTCTGGAGCCCCGAGCTGAAGAAAGAACGAGCTTTGAGGAAGGAGGAGAGCGCCAAATACAGCCTTATCAATGACCAACTGAAACTGCTCAATCAAGAAAATCAGGTTAGTGGAACTTGTACAAAGAAAAACTGAAATGAAATAGACTTAAAATGTTGCATACGGACGTTAACCTAATTCTTAATACAACCACAAAGAAACGACAGCTAAAATTGGGCTTAGGCACTTAATCATCTATGCATCATTGATCATAAGAAGTCGAAAATAAGTATTATTGGGAGTTAATATATTCTGCCATAGACCTAAAGAAGACCATGATAGTACTAATCATAAAAATATGTATAGAAAATCCAAATTCGTTGGAATATTTCAAATCATATTAATTGGAAATAGCCCTTTCGTTATGCACCATATAGTTCTACTCATGTTTTTTTATTAATATACATATTCCAAAGTACGGAACCTAACACTTTTTTCGAAGAAGCGACAGTAGCGCCACGCGGAAGTAAAAATAGTTTACTTAAAAAACTGAAACTTGTTATATATGTAGAAATAGCTTTAAAAATGTATAATAAATGCATATGCACCAATTCAAAAACCCACATCTCAGCAGGGATTAAACTGACACATTAGCAAAAGGACATTGAATGTCGTACTGTACTTACATTTATAGACAGAGTCAATAAACATTACTTGGACGATTTATTTTACAAAAGAGTCAATCAAGTGGAGCAAGCGCATCTTCTGTTTAAATCTCTGAAAAATAGAAATCAATACAAGAAATTAAATATAATATGGTAAATATATATTTTTATAATATTAAATTAACTGATTGCAAAGAGGTACAGCTTTGCTGTTTTATGAAATCTCCAGCTTCGGGCACAGCGCTGTCAAACCATAGAGGATCAATTAAATAAAACCTTTATTATATTTGATAAATTTTGCATTCACAAAGCAATGACGAAAAATATCCTTAATTAAAAATGCTTAAGAAAACCCATGATTTTTCGCAATCCGGGCGACTGCTCTAACCACTGAACTACCCAGGACCTATGAGCGCTGACGAATTTTTCAAGCACTTGTTACTTTTATGCTATTACAGAGCCGAAAATAATAATTTTCAAATATTTAAACTTTCGATAAAGATGAAAAATTGATCTAATTATTATATTAGACCAAATATAATATTTCTTTTATTCTCAATGAAAAATGTTTGAAAGTCCATTTTGTCCCTGGTTTGGGCTTCGGGTAATTAAATCTACTTTGTCCTTGAACATTGATGAAAATACGCTCTGTAGTAGTGTATAAGTAACAAGTGCTTGAAAAATTCGTTAGTCCTATTAGGCTGGACGATAAATGTTTCTCAGCGAAAATCTCCAAAATTGCACAGACAATCTCAAATAGAGCAACTGCATCTGTCATTGCTTATTGCGATTACTTTTACAAATAATAACTGAACTATCATTTTGTCTATCCTAATGTTATAAAAAGGAAAGATTTGATTGTTGTTGGACTGGTTTTATAAATTCTTCCACCTTGAGGAAGCTACAACATACGCGGGTGACAAAGGCTATAATTTCCGCCAGCGAAATATGAATCAATTTTATCTTCTTTTATATAACTAAATTAAACTTATTCGGTTATATTCGGAGATGGTATGTCATCTATCCTACAAAACAATATTAGAGAGTCATTATAATATGAAATATGTTAGCAACCAATAATTAGCCAGTTTATCCAAAAGTTTCCAAAGCATCAATTGGCTAAAGATATTACAATTTTGTCACCCAACCGATGCAAAAGATGCTTAACTTTCACATCGCAGATGGATCAGTGCCATTGAGCTCTATTTTACCGTAGTCAGATAAAAATAATATCTATTTTTGTTTAATATTGTCTCTACTTCTTGCAATGGAAGAGCAAGAAGTAGTTGATATTAGCGGAGACGTATTTTACTGCCGTGCTTGGTGGGCAAAATTGCTGTTTTTAAGAAAAAGTATGTCCCGTTGCTGTAGTAAATAAACGAAATAAAACATGTTTCATTTTTAATTTTCTGGCTTGGCACCATCTTGACACTAAGCAAAAATTGGCCTTGTTACATTACCATAGATTTTGCTACGGCAATAGGTTAACTGCCGTAGACTGTAGTTTATGTCTAATTTCCGCAAAACACGACAATTGCCATAGCAGTAGCCAGGCCAAGCAGTTCTCTTAGCTTCTTTATAATATCAGTACTTATTCAAAATGCTTTAATAATTATTTGACTGTATATCACTTTGTTGCGCCACCCTCTATGGTTTATTTTTATTATTTACTTGTCGACTGGCAGAGAATGCCGCTCTTAGCTGTATTGCATTAAAGAACAAATAAATGATGCAGCCGGGTGTTATCGAATTCTTTTTCCTATATTGTACAGCATAAACTAGTTTCTGTTAGCTACGGTTTCGTTTATTCATAAAATATTAACTTTATTAAAACAACTCGAATGCATTTTGAATTTCGTTAATTTATTTTTTTTTCACATTTTGGATGCCTCGGATTCTTTGGAGGGCCCGTAGAATGTGGTGCTAGTATCTGAAACAAAATCAAACATATTTTAGAAGCTATTCAAGAGGTATTTTACTAAATGAGTAGTGAGCGTAAATATTTAAATTACCCATTATTCATAAACAACTTATCTTAAGTGTATTTTCTGAATTCCTATTTTAAATCTCAACATATTCTTAATTTTAAAGCTTGTTATTATTATTACAATCAATATGCTTACACTTCAGTTTATTACTAATTTGAGAGTCAAAACGCTTGCTAGTTTTTCTTTAGATGCATTATACAAGGCGGCTTACACAAAAAATATTTAACATCTAAAGTAACTATCACAGTAATGTACAACGTACATCGACTATTAATACTGTTAAATTTTTATTAGAGATTGATAGTGTACCAAATTGAATGCTTCTGATATCTTATTGCGTCATGGCTGTGAGTGTGTTTATTGATGTTACATGAGGGATCTGTTCAAATATTAGATGTTTATATTCTTATATATATTACAACAACGTAGATTACTTAGTAGTAATGATAAGCTTCAATTGGCTATCGCGGGAAAATAGCTCCTTAGAAAAATATCTGAACTCCTAATCTAGAATCTATGAGTAATATAAATATCAAATCTATAAGTAATGATACTAAGTAGTGAAGTTAGCAATGTACTCAGTCCGCGATCGAGTATTATTAGTCTTGGGATGGGTTGGAACTCTATTTCTTAAGCGCCAGTCAAGTCAGTCAAGTTTAGGATTTTAAAAATGACTATACTATTAAACTGGTCCCAGTACACACAGCAGCACATCAGGCTATCACAATATGTTGAAAATTCAGGAAGTGATATTTTAACTTCGTACCTTGGTAATTGAGTATTATTATATTATATTATTACGAGTATAAGCACGTTGTTGACTGTAAATTAATATCAAAACGAAAATATGCATATCTACAAACAATCAATATATTTTTCAATTTCATTGAATATTAGTAATGCTGCTGTGTATATCAAATAGGGATGACGACTAATTTTTGTTTGTTTGTCCGTCAGGTAGAGTGTTAAAAAATATTAAACACGTATTTTTTTCGTAATCATTAAATTACGGCGTTACATGGAGTTGAAATTTCGCATGACGTCACGTTATGGTACGTTTTCTACTAAACTGTGACGTAGCGAGCCCCCACTCCTCAACTTTAATGCCTGTTATCTATGCTATTTCTAGTTAAATTGAAGTAAAAACAAATACGTATCTAATATTTTTCTACTATCTGACTGACGGACTAAATAGAATTGCATTTTTTTTACTAAGTCATCATCCCTATTAAATTTTGTTATGAACAACAAATAACAATAAATTCACAAGAAGCACAACAACACAAATATTATTTAAAATTTTGATTACATTCGCCATTGTTGTTCGTATGCACAGACACAAATAGATTCACTATTACTATGAGAGTATCAAAACATCTTAAAACAACAAAGTGCTTTCCTCGCGACATACGCTTCTATACTTATTATAGTTAGAAGTTATTTTAGAGTGAAGAATTTACTGTGAGACTATGATATTTGAATTAACGATGTAGATTATTTCAGACTCGTTTATTTATAAGCTACTAACTTTCGAGTTTCATTTGGAAATTATCATTGTAAGAAAACTTATTTTATTAAGTTTTTCAATTTATTTAATTAGATTGTTTCTTTTTCTATACTAATATAAAGTTACTTTAACTAACTTTGTTAGTTTGTTTGTTTGTAAAGGGAATAATCTTTGGAAATACTGATTTTTCGATCATGATATTTTTTTTTACCAACGGAAAGCTACCTTAAGGGCGCTTGTGCACTACACTGAATTTTCATGTCCGTCGGTCCGATTTTTTCAAGTCCGATATACATCACCAGCCGTTTTTACGTCCCCACTGCAGGGGCTCAGGCCTTCCTTATGGATGGTTAAGGAGGATGGGCCATGACCCTCCACGCTAGCCCAATGCGGATTGGAGGGTATTAACGACGCCAAATGCAGCCGGGATCAACGGCTTAACGTGCCTTCCGAAGCACGGAGTAGCTCGAGATAATAACTTTTTGGTCACCCATCCCGTGACCGACTCTTGCGAAAGTTGCTTAACGACTACGATCGCGGGCCGCGGCGCCTATCCACTACGCCACCGAGCTACAAGTCCGATATGTCAGGCCATATATAGGTAATGCTAGCCTGTGCACTGTCAGGAATTTTACCGTCCGGGATTTTACTTTTCTCTATTCCGGACCGGTTTTTTCAGGTCCGTGATGGCGGCAATGAAAAACGTGTTTACGCTTGTGCACTGCTGTGCCGCGATCCGGAAAATTCATAAGGAATAGGCTAGGGAAAAAATAATCGATTTGTGTATAATCGATATTTATTTCTGCGATATTGTTAATTTCCAATAAACATATAATCGATATTTATTGTAGATTATAAAATGCTATATTTTATATGATGATTTAATATAGTTGGTAAATATCACTGCATATGTTTTGGCAAACTCGGTATAGTTCTAATTTGATCAGCGTATGGTTCTAATATCGA